GGGTTGAATTTTGATTCGTCCTCCTTTGCGCCTTCAAATCCATCCTTTTTCTGATGGAACACGATCACTTATTTTATCTTTATTTTACTTAACAAAACGACTGTTCTACAGCTCTAGCTTATTTTCAAACAAGCTGGATTTGCCCCTGCAAACCGAACACAGCCTTAAATTTTCATTTTTGTTTTTTATAAGTACTAAAATGACTATTTAACCCTTCTAGCCCGGTATTCTGTATCCTACAAAATAAGATGTTTAACAGGATTAGTACCCAGCAAAGTTGGCTGCTGCCCCCAAGTCCGCATATGAGAATTTGTATACGTGGTAATCAGCAGATCCTTCTTGTTGGATTGGTGAAGGGTAGATAGACGGGGATTCTTCTGTGTGAGTAGAAAGACCAATATAAAATCAGAACAGGTTTGAAAATTAGAGTGAAAGCCCAAAACTGCCGCGTGGCAATCAGTCCCTCCCATTCGAAAATCATCTCTGAACAATGAACGGCCCCGGAGAGAAGACATTCAAGCAGCTGTGGCGGGAGTTATGCAAGGACGGATGGAAGCCCCGCAAACCCACGCGCATGGCCAAGCATCACCGCTACGTGAAGCCAGGAATCAAGGGACGTCTTGATGAATCGAGACGCGGCATTGACTTTTTTTAGGGTACGTTGCAATGCTAACTGACCTAATAATGCTCAATACTTACAATGGTGTGTTTATCAGGCGAAGCTGAACTCATGGTGTTTGGACGTGCATCCGGTCGTCTCCAGCTTCCACCCCCAAGCGTGCGTGTTGGCCCTGCACATCGTCCGATTGGCAAGCAAGCATCGTACGAAGCTGTTGGGGAGGAACCTCCCCATGGCCATCCACCGCTCACCACTTCCGCGCCACCACCTTCCGTTACGGCGACTGAATCCGCCCAAACTCCAGAAGTAAGTGCTCCTCAAGTCAGTGCACGTGTTCAACCTCCAGCGACCGCTCCGTTGACGCCGGAGGTGAATCCGGCAGGACTGCAGCCATCGACTGAAGTTCAAGCTCAACTGGCTATAACGGATGATACAGAACAAGATGAAGCCTTGGAGGGCCACGATCTGGATAATACAGAGCATGGGGATACGGAGTTTACAGTCCCGGAGGATACAGAACAAGAAGGAGAAATGACGGCTCTGATACAGAATGGAACCCGCGAGAGAAATCGACGGAAGCTGATGAAGTAAAGAGCGAGAGTGACGACCCTGCGGATTATCGTGTAGATTTTGATGGCTTTGATAGCGACAACTTCATGGAGGGTCTCCGAAAAGAGCGATTGCTCGGCCCGACAGATGGTGATGATGTGAACGTGGTGGCTGGTCAAGATGCCAGCGACTGTCATTCAGACGCGGATAACGAAGACGTGATGAACGACAACGAAGTGGTCCTTGAAGTAGAAGGTGTAGAAGATCTAGAAGACGTGTCTTTGAATGATGACATCCCCGAGGAGGGACTCTTTGACCTGACTAGTGGTGATTTGCGAGACATCGCGGAGAATGGATGTATTACTTATGCCGAAGCGGAAAGTGGTAAGCCGTATGATACAGATTAGTGTGTGGTGCAATTGTACTTATTCCGGATTGTGTGTTTACTACAGGGAATCTCCGGATGGACGCTGCAACGGACTATTACGACGGACCGTGCGGACCCACACGGTCTGCGGTCGCATACGCAGACTCTCCATTGGCCATGTTCTTCTACTTTTTACCGAAGGAGCTATGGATTTGAATTGATGATGGGACGAACCGCTACCGAGAGCAGAATATTGGTGCTGTGGTATTATCTCGTCGAGCAAAGATGCTTGCTCGCCAAGCTGAGGATCCTCGCGTGAGTGTGTCCAACTTAGAAGATATCGAAGCCAAGTTGAGAAAATTCAAGCGTATTCAAGCTCATGAGATTTTGCACGTCGTGGGATTGCTCTTTGCACGAGATGTCGCTCCGATTCGAGACGGGCTCTCCAATCACTGGAGTACTGAAGAAGATGGAGCCATTCCACGCGGGATGTTCTCTCGCTTCATGAAGCGCGATCGCTTCGAGGCGATCATGAAATTTCTGCACTTCAACAACAATGATGACGGTGGAGCGCATGCTGACAGAGCTTGGAAAATCCGTCCTGTGTTGCAAGCTGTTGAGAAAACATTCCGCCGTGGCTATCGCTTGGGTAAGGTCATCTCGTTCGACGAAGGCATGATGCCGAACCGCAGCAAGTTCAATCCGATGCGAATCTTCATGCCCGACAAGCCCAGCAAGTACGGCACCAAGTTCTACATGACATGCTGCGCAGATACAGCATATTGTTCAAGGTACTGCATATTATTCGGTACATCCTTGAATACGCAATTCCGGAGGCTACAGAATACACTGACACTCTCTCATGATATGCTGTATCTATCCGACTTAGAGTGGAAATCTATTGTGGGGCAGACGGCAAAAAGAAGAAGACGCCAAGTGATCCGTTGGGGCATGGTCCAAAAGCTGTCGTTAGAAACATATCGAAAGCCTTGGTGGGTCAGCCGAGGAGGCGCCTGATCGTAACGGATAGCTTCTACTCAACGGTCTCACTGAGTCTGAAGCTGCTGGATATGGGTCTCTATCATGTTGGCACCACGAGAATTGATCGACTTGGCTGGTGTCCGATCCAGTTCACGCAGGCGAAACGACCGAAGTGAATGCCAAGAGGAACCTATCGTATCGCACAAGCACGTGATCACCCTCAGTTAGTTGCATTGAGTTGGATGGATTCAAAGCCCGTGAACATGCTCGCTGCTGGTTGCAGCAATCACCCCGCCAGCGTTATGCGCTTGGAGAAAGATGGCACGCGAAGCACGGTGCCGTGTCCGCAGCTGATTATGGTGGCATGGGCGGCGTGGACGTCCACGACCAGCTGAGACTCCAGCGCTACAGCATCCAAAAGTGTATATCGCATCGCAAGTACTACAAGCAGTTATTCCTGTGTATCGTAGACATGGCTGTCGTGAATGGATACATCGTTCACTGTGTGACGCTTAAGAAGAAAGGAGAAAAACAACCTACCCATACAGACTACCTGCGTCGTTTGCACATTCAGCTACTCGCCCTGCAGACAATCAGCTTCGAGACCCACCCCAACGCAGAGGACCTGGTGGCTGTACCAACTCCACGTCAGCAGCACGCGTTAGTGAGCACCGATGACTTCTATTCGTCCGGAAAGCAGCACAAACGCAAGCAGTACCTGTGCAAAGTGTGCTCCGCTTTTGCTGACTCCAAAACCAAGTCATTTGAAACCAGTTTCTTCTGCCCGCGATGCAGCGATGCCTTTGGAGGGCGCGTACCTCTCTGCCGTCACGTGCGGCGCGTGGAGAGCGGGAATACGCTGACTTGCTCGCAGATTTGGCACGAGACGTGGGGTGACGGCAAGAGCGTTCCGCCTAGCCTAAAGAAGAAGATTAGATTCCGTAAGCGTAAGAGAGAGAGTGACGAGGAAGCGTAGGAAAGATAGTAGGAAGGGTAAGTCCAAATATTTGGTAATGCGCGGCGCGCGCGCAGAGAAGAGTTTGCCCTGTTCCTCGTCGCTAAACCGTTAGTTAGGGACTGGGCAAATTCTTTCTCTGCGCGCGCGCCGCGCATTTTGGCGCCACGAACAGATGGCTGTCGACAAGGAGTTGGGCTGCTCGATCGGCTTCATGAGCCTAAATGAAAATCTCGGGTATTGATAGAATGCAGGTATTGACTGTGCTCTAACCGAAAATGAACCAATAGAAAATCGCAATTTGCGCAGCTGTTGGGTACATTGTGGACGCTATGTCCACTGTCGTAATGTTTCTGTGAAAAATTCGCCTAGTTCTTGGCCATGGAGAGCGAAGGGGGTTGCAGCAGGATAATTATGGGAGGTTTCTGAAGTATACTTTTATCAAGTATAATTCCTTATTCTGTAGGATACAGAATAAAAGTTCGGGCTAGAAGGGTTAAGACGAAACGTGCGTCACCAGGTCCTACAAATTTTATTACCAGCTCATAAGACCATATATTACGTGTGTGCACGTCGGCAGAGCCTACCTATGCAAATTAATCCGCACACACGAAGCGCCCTTTGCGTGGCGCAGCTGTTTAAACGGTGCATTTAAGTACGATGTGTGGACCACGTATAATATGTACACCACATATTGGATTTTGGCGTTGCGCTCGGCAGGCCCGCATTTAGCGTGACTTTTATTAACCTACCCTCGGAGGTTGATTATATTATTATAAAGAGGAATCACTAAAAGGAGTTGTACCCAATGGTACACACGACATTCGGCCGTCGTTTCCATTCATTAACAGCAAAGTGGTTTTTGCTGGCTTGCGATGGCAAGGCCCCACCCACGTCGCGAAACAGGCTCATGAATGAATAGCGACGACATCTACCGTCACAAAGCCGAAAATCCATCATTGAGCCAGTAGCGTTGTGGGCTCAAAACGTGTTTCAGCTACAGCGCTTACCATCACATGAAACGATTAGAAACATCCTGGAGCACAACCTACTCGAAGCCATACTATTGGAAGCTCTAGACTCAAAGTTGGTCGGCTGGATGGCAAAAAAAAACGCTTTACTATTGTATTTACATGCAATACGATTCATTTGCCACTTCTTTTTGTGGGAAAATCAAGAGGCAAAAAGCAGATGTCACTGCGTTCATTCTTTAATCGACATTGACAAAATAGACCAAACCAATATATAAATATCTCTGAATAACAACATCCGTCATTTTCTGGTCACTATTCACTGATGAGAGGATAGAGGTCAGTTTATCTCAAGTTTGAAAGCAAGCGGTTATCGGGAGACCCTAAGGGAATTACTATTGGGGATATCAATACAGAGAGGTACTTTTCAAATGTGCTCAAACCTTTATTTTGAATTAGTCATGCCATGACTAATTAGAGTAGCGGTGCTTTTTCGCTTATTTTTTTAAACAGGGAAAAGCTTTATTTTTTTGTAAGAAACGAAAGTCGGCGGTAACAATGAGCCGGATGCGCGATGAGGACGATGAAGAGTTAGACGAGAGCTTTCAGCACGCGGACATCCCCAACACTTTCCGGGAGCTTCGCGCCTGCATGACGTGCTCTCTCGTCAAGACATTCACGCAGTTCTACGACACAGGCTGCGAGAACTGCGCCTTCCTTCAGATGGCAGACAACCGTCAGCGCGTGGCTGAGTGCACCTCCGCCTACTTCGAAGGGTGCGCCAACTACTTACTGACACTTATTTACGCTAAATTCATTCTCATAAGACAAGATGCGTGTTGCTGTATCAGCATGATCGCCATGATGCAACCCAAGGAGAGCTGGGTGGCCAAGTGGCAGCGAATTGGTGCGTCCAGGCGACCTGGTATTTATTGCACGACGCTATTGACGACTGGTCCTCTCTGTATTCGATATTTGCACAGTTCGCTTAATCCCAGGCATATATGCTGTGTCTGTGTCGGGGGAGCTACCCGACTCGATCAAGCGTTTTCTCGAGGACAGGAACATCCCATACCGCGTGCAGAATTAAGATGTTGTGGAGCAGCAATGCAGAGCTGCAGTGCGTGGCGTCTCATTTGTCTAATGAAATGCGTCTCCGCAAGTGCTGTGTTTTGCAGTATTATCGCAAAGTATTCCTTCTAGTACTGTATGTTACTACGTACTACTTCTACTACTGTAGGTTTGAAATAATCGTGTTTCAGCGTTCAAGCGCTGCTCAATTCTTTGGCGGGCGACGAAACCCAAAAGACTTCCGCGGGGTTGGTAAACCGCTCGACTCTGCAGGTTCAAGGGTCACTGAGGATTTGCTTGGTGTTGGAAGAAAGCTCTTTGTTGACTTGGATGAAGTTGTGCCCAAAAGAGCAGATGCAGGTTGAGTCAGGCGTGATGAAGCACGCTTCGCCGATGTTGTGCTAGGTATCGTTGGTGTACGCACGAAGGATCTTGGACGGACCAAAGCGCTCGGAGGCTTCGCGATGCTGTTTGGGGCTTCAATGACTTTTCGTCGGTCCAGCCCTGAAGATGCCGCAGGTAAAGTAGGTGGTACAACTGATGGGGTTGGAGGCGTAGGAGGCTTTACACTACATACGGGGGAAGTCTCTGCGCTTGCAGAAATGTGTTGTTGCAGAGAGCTCGACGATCGAGACCTCAACGGAGAAGGACCATTTCCTTTGTGCCCATGCCTACGTATAAGAAGAGGGTACCTGAAAGAGCTGACCAGGTCGTAATCTCCATCTTCGTCTTCTAGGAGTCCCGACTCCAGGATTGCTTCAGGCGCGGCGTCACCCATGATCAACGTAAATGTGTTTTCTGAGGCAGCACTTAGGGAAAGCCTTAACACAGCCGCACGCGGTACTAAGTGCGATGTTACACCATAGCATTTTGAAGCTACGTCGTGAAACCATTCATCGGAGAGAGGATCATCGCCCACAAGGACCTCAAAAACGAGGTCCGCATCGTCTTGGTCCGCATTAAACATTGCCTGGGATAATCTATCACTCGCTGGATATCGAGATTGTTTCCGTTCACAGTACTTCGCAATGCCAAACTCCTGGAGAAACAATGACGCATCATCTGTACCTTCGACGTTCGGCTTCTCTCGGGCTAATAACGTGAGGCAACATGTTGTAACGCTGTCATCCGTGTCACCAACAGTTTGCTCTTTTTTCTCCCCCAAAGCAAAGTCTCCGGTACCTTCTACTTTCTCCGTGTCTTCAGCAAACATGTCCACAATCAGTTCGTCGACAGGATCAAATACGTCATCCAGGCTTCCTAAAACCGCAATATCCCCTGCTTCGCTTTCTGGGTTTGACTCTGCATTTAGTCCAGCAAAAACAATAGTACTGTATAAACCAGCCTTGGTCATCTTACCTCTTTCTGACCCACAATTGTCCACATACACATAGTCAGCGCTAGCACAACCTTCCACCTCCACCCCGACGGACGCTGCACTATCTTCCTCATTCACTATGTTTCGTGCTGAACGAATCGGACGCTCATCAGAAGACGTGATGCCAGCCGCAACTTCAGCGTGTGCTGTATCGTGGTCCGTTCCAACATCTCCTGGCACAGCCGCACCATGGTTCCCCACCACTTCCGCGTCGGCTTGCTCTTCAATCGCGGGCTCTTTAATTATCGCAGGACGAATCGGACGATCTTCAGAATATGAGACAGCATCCGAGCGTTCCATTCTTTCGTCGACTTCTGGTTTGGATGCCGAATCATCGGCACCGGCACCGGCACAAACACCAGCACAATCTTCCTCCACCACCCCGACGGACGCTGCACTATCTTCCTCATCTACTATGTTTCGTGCTGGACGAATCGAACGCTCATCAGAAGACGTGTTGCTAGCCGCAACTTCAGCGTGTGCTGTATCGTGGTCCGTTCCAACGTCTCCTGGCACAGCCGCACCATGGTTCCCCACCACTTCCGCGTCGGCTTGCTCTTCAATCGCGGGCTCTTTAATTATCGCAGGACGAATCGGACGATCTTCAGAATATGAGACGGCATCCGAGCGTTCCATTCTTTCGTCGACTTCTGGTTTGGATGCCGAATCATCGGCACCGGCACCGGCACAAACACCAGCACAATCTTCCTCCACCACCCCGACGGACGCTGCACTATCTTCCTCATCCACTATGTTTCGTGCTGGACGAATCGGACGCTCATCAGAAGGCGTGATGCCAGCCGCAACTTCAGCGTGTGCTGTATCGTGGTCCGTTCCAACATCTCCTGGCACAGCCGCACCATGGTTCCCCACCACTTCCGCGTCGGCTTGCTCTTCAATCGCGGGCTCTTTAATTATCGCAGGACGAATCGGACGATCTTCAGAATATGAGACGGCATCCGAGCGTTCCATTCTTTCGTCGACTTCTGGTTTGGATGCCGAATCATCGGCACCGGCACCGGCACAAACACCAGCACAATCTTCCTCCACCACCCCGACGGACGCTGCACTATCTTCCTCGTCCACTATGTTTCGTGCTGGACGAATCGGACGCTCATCAGAAGGCGTGATGCCAGCCGCAACTTCAGCGTGTGCTGTATCGTGGTCCGTTCCAACATCTCCTGGCACAGCCGCACCATGGTTCCCCACCACTTCCGCGTCGGCTTGCTCTTCAATCGCGGGCTCTTTAATTATCGCAGGACGAATCGGACGATCTTCAGAATATGAGACGGCATCCGAGCGTTCCATTCTTTCGTCGACTTCTGGTTTGGATGCCGAATCATCGGCACCGGCACCGGCACAAACACCAGCACAATCTTCCTCCACCACCCCATCAGAAGGCGTGATGCCAGCCGCAACTTCAGCGTGTGCTGTATCGTGGTCCGTTCCAACATCTCCTGGCACAGCCGCACCATGGTTCCCCACCACTTCCGCGTCGGCTTGCTCTTCAATCGCGGGCTCTTTAATTATCGCAGGACGAATCGGACGATCTTCAGAATATGAGACGGCATCCGAGCGTTCCCATTCTTTCGTCGACTTCTGGTTTGGATGACCGAATCATCAGCATCGGCACCAGCACATACATCAGCACAATCATCCCTCCAGCACCTCATCAGAAGGCGTGATGCCAGCCGCAACTTCAGCGTGTGCTGTATCGTGGTCCGTTCCAACGTCTCCTGGCACAGCCGCACCATGGTTCCCCACCACTTCCGCGTCGGCTTGCTCTTCAATCGCGGGCTCTTTAATTATCGCAGGACGAATCGGACGATCTTCAGAATATGAGACGGCATCCGAGCGTTCCATTCTTTCGTCGACTTCTGGTTTGGATGCCGAATCATCGGCACCGGCACAAACACCAGCGCAATCTTCCTCCACCACCCCGACGGACGCTGTACTATCTTCCTCATTCACTATGTTTCGTGCTGGACGAATCGGACGCTCATCAGAAGACGTGTTGCTAGCCGCAACTTCCGCGCGTGCTGTATCGTGGTCCGTTCCAACGTTTCCTGGCACAGCCGCACCATGGTTCCCCACCACTTCCGCGTCGGCTTGCTCTTCAATCGCGGGCTCTTTAATTATCGCAGGACGAATCGGACGATCTTCAGAATATGAGACAGCATCCGAGCGTTCCATTCTTTCGTCGACTTCTAGTTTGGATGCCGAATCATCGGCACCGGCACCGGCACAAACACCAGCACAATCTTCCTCCACCACCCCGACGGACGCTGCACTATCTTCCTCATCCACTATGTTTCGTGCTGGACGAATCGGACGCTCATCAGAAGACGTGTTGCTAGCCGCAACTTCCGCGCGTGCTGTATCGTGGTCCGTTCCAACGTTTCGTGGCACAGCCGCACCATGGTTCCCCACCACTTCCGCGTCGGCTTGCTCTTCAATCGCGGGCTCTTTAATTATCGCAGGACGAATCGGACGATCTTCAGAATATGAGACGGCATCCGAGCGTTCCATTCTTTCGTCGACTTCTGGTTTGGATGCCGAATCATCGGCACCGGCACCGGCACAGACACCAGTACAATCCTTCTCCACCACCCCATCAGAAGGCGTGATGCCAGCCGCAACTTCTGTGTGTGCTGTATCGTGATCCGTTCCAACGTCTCCTGGCACAGCCGCACCATGGTTCCCCACCACTTCCGCGTCGGCTTGCTCTTCAATCGCGGGCTCTTTAATTATCGCAGGACGAGTCGGACGATCTTCAGAATATGAGACGGCATCCGAGCGTTCCATTCTTTCGTCGACTTCTGGCTTGGATGCCGAATCATCGGCACCGGCACCTTGGCAAACACCAGCACAATCTTCCTCCACCACCCCGACGGACGCTGTACTATCTTCCTCATCCACTATGTTTCGTGCTGGACGAATCGGACGCTCATCAGAAGACGTGTTGCTAGCCGCAACTTCCGCGCGTGCTGTATCGTGGTCCGTTCCAACGTTTCCTGGCACAGCCGCACCATGGTTCCCCACCACTTCCGCGTCGGCTTGCTCTTCAATCGCGGGCTCTTTAATTATCGCAGGACGAATCGGACGATCTTCAGAATATGAGACGGCATCCGAGCGTTCCATTCTTTCGTCGACTTCTGGTTTGGATGCCGAATCATCGGCACCGGCACCGGCACAAACACCAGCACAATCTTCCTCCACCACCCCGACGGACGCTGCACTATCTTCCTCATCCACTATGTTTCGTGCTGGACGAATCGGACGCTCATCAGAAGACGTGTTGCTAGCCGCAACTTCAGCGTGTGCTGTATCGTGGTCCGTTCCAACGTCTCCTGGCACAGCCGCACCATGGTTCCCCACCACTTCCGCGTCGGCTTGCTCTTCAATCGCGGGCTCTTTAATTATCGCAGGACGAGTCGGACGATCTTCAGAATATGAGACGGCATCCGAGCGTTCCATTCTTTCGTCGACTTCTGGTTTGGATGCCGAATCATCGGCACCGGCACCGGCACAAACACCAGCACAATCTTCCTCCACCACCCCGACGGACGCTGCACTATCTTCCTCATCCACTATGTTTCGTGCTGGACGAATCGGACGCTCATCAGAAGGCGTGATGCCAGCCGCAACTTCAGCGTGTGCTGTATCGTGGTCCGTTCCAACGTCTCCTGGCACAGCCGCACCATGGTTCCCCACCACTTCCGCGTCGGCTTGCTCTTCAATCGCGGGCTCTTTAATTATCGCAGGACGAATCGGACGATCTTCAGAATATGAGACGGCATCCGAGCGTTCCATTCTTTCGTCGACTTCTGGTTTGGATGCCGAATCATCGGCACCGGCACCGGCACAAACACCAGCACAATCTTCCTCCACCACCCCGACGGACGCTGCACTATCTTCCTCATCCACTATGTTTCGTGCTGGACGAATCGGACGCTCATCAGAAGGCGTGATGCCAGCCGCAACTTCAGCGTGTGCTGTATCGTGGTCCGTTCCAACATCTCCTGGCACAGCCGCACCATGGTTCCCCACCACTTCCGCGTCGGCTTGCTCTTCAATCGCGGGCTCTTTAATTATCGCAGGACGAATCGGACGATCTTCAGAATATGAGACGGCATCCGAGCGTTCCATTCTTTCGTCGACTTCTGGTTTGGATGCCGAATCATCGGCACCGGCACCGGCACAAACACCAGCACAATCTTCCTCCACCACCCCGACGGACGCTGCACTATCTTCCTCATCCACTATGTTTCGTGCTGGACGAATCGGACGCTCATCAGAAGGCGTGATGCCAGCCGCAACTTCAGCGTGTGCTGTATCGTGGTCCGTTCCAACGTCTCCTGGCACAGCCGCACCATGGTTCCCCACCACTTCCGCGTCGGCTTGCTCTTCAATCGCGGGCTCTTTAATTATCGCAGGACGGAGTCGGACGATCTTCAGAATATGAGACGGCATCCGAGCGTTCCATTCTTTCGTCGACTTCTGGGTTGGATGCCGAATCATCGGCACCGGCACCCGGCACAAACACCAGCACAATCTTCCTCCACCACCCCGACGGACGCTGCACTATCTGCCTCATTCTACTATGTTTCGTGGTTGGACGGAGTCGGACGCTCATCAGAAGGCGTGATTCCCAGCCGCAACTTCAGCGAGTGCTGTATCGTGGTTCCGTTCCAACGTCTCCTGGCACAGCCGCACCATGGTTCTCCAACCACATCCTGCGTCGGCTGCTCTTCAATCGCGGGCTCCTTTAAATTATCGCAGGACGAATCGGACGATCTTCAGAATATGAGACGGCATCCGAGCGTTCCATTCTTTAGTCGACTTCTGGTTTGGAGACCGAATCATCGGCATCGGCACCGGCACAAACACCAGCACAATCATGATTCACCACCTCATCAGAAGGCGTGATGCCAGCCGCAACTTCAGCGTGTGCTGTATCGTGGTCCGTTCCAACGTCTCCTGGCACAGCCGCACCATGGTTCCCCACCACTTCCGCGTCGGCTTGCTCTTCAATCGCGGGCTCTTTAATTATCGCAGGACGAATCGGACGATCTTCAGAATATGAGACGGCATCCGAGCGTTCCATTCTTTCGTCGACTTCTATTAAGCAGACCGGACCCTCGGCATCAGCATCATCCCAGACATTAGGACATTCATGATCCGGCGCACATCAGAAGGCGTGATGCAGCCGCACTTCAGCGTGTGCTGTATCGTGGTCCGTTCCAACGTTTCCTGGCACAGCCGCACCATGGTTCCCCACCACTTCCGCGTCGGCTTGCTCTTCAATCGCGGGCTCTTTAATTATCGCAGGACGAATCGGACGATCTTCAGAATATGAGACGGCATCCGAGCGTTCCATTCTTTCGTCGACTTCTGGTTTGGATGCCGAATCATCGGCACCGGCACCACAAACACCAGCACAATCTTCCTCCATCACCCCGACGGACGCTGCACTATCTTCCTCATCCACTATGTTTCGTGCTGGACGAATCGGACGCTCATCAGAAGGCGTGATGCCAGCCGCAACTTCAGCGTGTGCTGTATCGTGGTCCGTTCCAACATCTCCTGGCACAGCCGCACCATGGTTCCCCACCACTTCCGCGTCGGCTTGCTCTTCAATCGTGGGCTTTTTAATTAAGTGGGTTGCAGGATGAATCGGACGATCGTCTCGATCGCACCACGATCCAGGGGCTGCGTCGTTTATAGCGTCGTCCTGCCCGGATACAGAGGCAAGAGCAGAAGCAAACTGATTGTTGTCATCATTTTCTGCTTGAGCTACACTTTTATTGCCTGTAAGGCTGTTGACGGTCTTCGCTCTCCGTTCACAAGTGCTCGACCACACATCTGGCGCCTCTTGAAGCAGTTCCAACGCATCCGTCCTCCACATAATCCACGCCTTATCAACGCTACCGCCAGCAATTAGCAGCCAATTTCCACCTCGCACGGTAACCTCCACCGTCTGTCCTCGGCTAAGAAGTCCGACCGCCTGTGCCTCCTTTGCCGGGTAGTCTCGTATCGCAATCTGAGCTTCCTCGGGCAGTGCCTCACTTAGCTCATAAAATGTATGTGGAGCTGTACATGCACACCCAAAGACGATTCCAATATTAGCCCTCCACGCACCCATGGTTAGCCCACCAACAGTACGCACTATTGCATTCCTCATGCTTGAACCGCGTGCACACAATCTGCAAGTCCTTTTTCTCTATCCACACGCTTTCTAGCTCTGGATGAAAAATTCTGGATCGCTTTTCGGAATCGTCCGCTATGCAATAGAGAAAATTGACACTTTGGACCGGCCCAAGGCTATTCGCCGTCTCATGTGGCCCGTCATACAGCAGCACGGCCGAGTTTGTCGCCTCACAGCAGCTGTAAAAGTTCGTCGACTCCCAGGGTATCACGAGTGGCGTCCCGTCGGGTAACACCGCCATCATGAACCCCTCTTCCGTCTCACCCGTCACAGCATCACGACACACAACTTGGAGCCACGAGATTGCTGCATCATCGCCACCATCCCCAGTTACTTGAAATAATGGAGAGCACGCGGCGATGGCTCTTCCTTGAGATATACGGGCGCGCTCGGCGGCACCACTGTCAGGTGCCGCGCGGATGCGCAGCTCCGCCTGCAGCGGTAGATTCGGATGCACGCAGTACCAGCGCATAGAATGAAAAGCGATATTTCATTCATTCCCACATGAACGCATAATTTTTTGAAGGGCAAATTACAGTTCCTGTCAGAAGTACGAAGCTACCGGTACACGAATTTCTTGCAACCGGTTTAAAAAGTACTTTCAAAGAAAGAATTACTGAAATTTGCTTACAATAATGTAAGTGATTGTTTTTGGTAGTTCCCAATTTTGAATTTTGACGTTGCTTAATTTGCCGAATACATTTACATGTATTAATAACGGACGCGCCATATTATTAGTCCGGACTATATTTAATAGTGCCGCCCGAAAGTGACAGAGAGGACTTTAAACGGGTGAAGACTTTATTCCTTGCTGATATGATTCGTGTACCAGGTTAATATCGTCTAACGCATCATCTAACTCTGAAAGATTTAACAGATCGACGTCTTTGTCCGTATGCAGTTCCTTAGACCACTTTTGTGACGGGGTCACACAGCACCTTGCGCAAGAGGAAGTTATCTTCCGAGAGTATACAAACTCTCAGTGAACGGCAGTTCACAGGTCCCCTCTTTTATTAAAGAGAGCGAAGTGACCTAAATAAGGTAGATTGCAAACTGAGTATATTTATAGGTAGGATAAGTTCGGGTTTAATACAAACTATTAGTTACCTATAGAAATGCAATGTCATTTAGCCAATGGTTGGCTTTGAACGACTTTGGTACCTTGTACCAAATATCCCGGAGTATGACGTGTCATACTCCTGAAGTGTGAAGTGTCACACTTCATGTAACCAGGGTACACTTAGGGCTACGTACCCCGTTACATCCTCCCCCACTTAGGTTCGGTTTACCGACCAATCAGAATGAAGAGGTGTTCGTCACAAACTCTCATTCTCAAAGTCGAAAACCATCGACTTGGCCGCGCGAGCGCGGCGGAGGCTCACTTCACAGTTAGAGCCTCGAGCAGCAACCTGTGCGCTCTTTGTCTAGGTCTTCACTTCGACCGTTAACATGCCTCGTGGCACTACTAAGAGCGGTGCTAAAACACGCTCCAAGGCTGCAGCCGGTAAGGCGCAGGCCAAAAGCACTAAGCCTCACGGCAAAGGCTCTGCACTCAAGGAGGCTACTCAGGTGGCCTCCGAGGCGATCGGTTCCTCGGGTGACGCGGCTGCGGACAAGCGCGCAAGCAGGCGCAGCAGTCCGTCGCCCTCGTCTTCAGACAACCGTCCGAACCCTCAGTTCGTAGAACGCGAGTTCAACTCGGGAAGTGAAGACGATGCCGAGTCCGAGAGCACTCAGGATGCTCCTGCGGACTCTGTGGGAGGGCACAGCCCAGTGCCCAGTGAGCACAAAGTAGGTAGCGTGCAGTCGCCCGCTAGTGATCACGGTGATCACAGTCCCAGGACCTCTGTGCGCTCTGAGAGTCCGGCCGTTAAGGCTAAGGGCGCTCCCAAAGCCGGTGGCGATGAGGAAGAGAATCCTCGCAAACGTCTCTCGCTTGCCGAGGGTCTTGCGCGCGCTAAGGCCTCTAAAGCCGAAGGCGCCAAGCCCTCAAAGAAGTGTACCGCCTCTAAGTCTCCACTCCGCGAGGAGAAGGAGACTCGACGCTCGTATCAGAGTCTCTTCGGCTCCTCGGATGAAGAGGAGGAGAAGGAGGAAGAAGAGGAAGAGGAGGGTGCCATTGTTGAGCCCCGGGAGGTCTCGAATGACCTCGACCAGCAGCAGGAGGATTTCCAAGCTGCCCAGCGTGTGCGTGGGGGTTCGGTGGCGGCACCCGTCAGCCAGGGAGCTGCCATCAACTCAAGAGGGTATTGGCCTCCCGAGGAGAGCTCTGGGGCTGACCTCTTCTTAGAGCTTCTCGTCGCTCCTCGTGGCCTTGTGGGTGGCCACACTTCTAGGGGCATCTATGAACGAGCCCTTGTTCAGAAAGAACAGTTGTTCGTCGACAACTTGGAGGCTGCTCGGTGTGTGCTTCTCGCGCAACACCGCATTCCCCTTTAGGACTTCACGACTTGTCGTAAGAAGCCCGAGACCCGGGGTGGTCTCTATCCTGTTTGGGGATACCCCTGGGTTATGCCCGAGAACTGTCCCACGTGGAGTTCTTGTGAGGACATCTTCTGGGCGTGGGTGGAGACTCTCAAGTACTCGCCCACGGAGTTATGGGAACTCCATGAAGATCAGCAGCTGTCCCACATCCTGGACCAGCGTGATCTTCGTGTGAGGTTTGCCCACTTGATCAGCAAGCGTATGCTGCCAAGGGACATCCTGAAGCGCGCGGCTTCTAGCGCTCACGATGAGCGCGGGTACGGTATGTATTCATCGACCGTACCCCGTTCGGGCAAGAAGCCCCGGACTACTTATGAAGCTGCCGCCGCTTCTGTTTCCAGATTGCGACAGCCTTCAAGCAGTCAATCAGGAGCCGTTCAGCCGGGTCCCACGAGTTCTCGGAGTGGGCATAACTTCTCCACTTCACGAGGAGCTGTCGCTTGCCGCGACACCGTTGCTCCTGGAGGATCCGCTCCACGTGGAAGTGGGCTTCTCCATTCCGGTTCAAGCAGGGGCGGAGGTGCCCTCGTACGAGTACGAGTACTCGGCGCCTCCCGAGAGCCACT